GCCCAGACCAGAGTCCATCATTGTGTACCGCTCTGACACCGAGAGATTAGATGGAGAGGAGCGTGGAGGAGATGTGGAAGGGACAGAGAGAAGCTCTGAGGAAGGGGCCAAATTTCTCACCACCCCAACGAGTGAAGGTAATGTCATGTGGGTTCACTCTTTTCCCCTAACTGCATCTATTTTTGTACAGCAGGCTGTTCTGCCTGAATAATTTACCCTGGAAAATGTTGTGATGAATAAACCATCTGTGAAGAGTTTTATTCCAAAACGCATTAAACAACACTTTCATTTTTTTGCAATGAAGCAACTTTCATGGTTGCGAGTGGGCTTTACAAATACATGAAATGTCAATGCTCAGCTCAGCCGGCAAAAAATAGCCACATGCATAATTTATTTTTCAGTACTTGGTTGCGTGTCCCCTTGCCTTATCTCCAAGGGGACTGGTGTAAAAATTACACCAGTCTAATAAGAGAGTTCCTATTCATCTTAGTCTACTCTTAGACAACATGAATGCGCATTTCTGTCAGAATTTGCATGTTTAATTCAGCTTTTTACCTGCTGTTCCAAATTGAAAATTGAGATTGAGGTCTGGTGATTTTACAGGTCAGTCAAATTGTGCCAGTGTTTCATCAGATCTGTTGAACCAGTCACATATTGACACCCTACAGTTGTCATCCTGGCGTGCGGCAGTATCAGTGTTGTGTTCTTTATAGACATGAAGCACAGTGTTAGTGGGGGACTGGGTGACAATGGAAATGCTATTCTCAAGAAACCAGTCCGTAACTGACAGAATTGGAACTGTCGTAAAGGCAAGTAACCCAAATTAGGAATGAAATGATGCATGTGACTCATTTTTTGTCTACTGATGTGATTTAATATTACAAAGGGCTGAACAATTTTAATTATCAAAACCGCAATTTGAAAGAGTGAAATGTTCAAATCGAGCTGCAGTATTAATTATATCTTACATTATTCAATATTGTCTCAACAATTGGTAAGTGGGGAAATTTAATATAATGATGCAAAGTTAATGAACTGGCAGTCTGGCTCACTGCATTAAAGCCTGAAAACAGTGGACGTGCTGGACGTCTTTGCCAAAACAAAACTTTCAAAATCAATAAATCGCAATATTGGTCAGAAAAATTCACCATTTCCCCCAAAACATTAAGCCCTAATACCACCTTTATTAGAAAAATAGGCATCTTTTGATACATTATGGTAGCTACTGTTTTTTTAACCTCTTCTTATTTTTTTTTTCTTATGTATTTTTCTGTATATATCTCTGCAAAAGTGTGTAGTCACCTGTTCATCCAATGTTTCTTTTAAAATCAAGTGTATTAATAAGGAGTTGGTCCCTGTTTACTGCAGTAACAGCCTCTATTCTCCTGGCAAGGCTTTACAATAGATTTTGGAACATTGATGGGAGGATTTGATTGCATTCAGCAACATTACTGAGGTCAGGTACTGATGTTGGATGCCACTTTAACTCATCCCAAAGGTATTGGATGGAACTCCATCATTCCAGAGTCCAGCAGTTCCACTGCTGCACAGCCCAGTGCTGGTGGGCTTTATACCCCTCTAGTTGATGCTTGGCGTTGGGCGAGGTGACCTCAGACCCATGTCCAGCTGGTCCAGAGTGTCCCATTCTGTCGGCAATGCTTTTGTCTGGAGATTATACAAGCTGTGTGTGCATGCAAACTGAACACACATGGCCACAATAAGTGCATCTTAAAGTTTCTGAATGAACTATTTAGAAAGAACCCTTTTTGATGTATAGTTTATATTAACTGTCTGCCAAGAACTGTTTTCTTCTTTAATGTAGTTTTCTTTCTCTATATTCCCAGGAGGTTGGAACCTACCACCGGATAGCCGCTATGTGACGCTAACAGGCACAATCACACGTGGGAAGAAAAAAGGTCAGATGGTGGACATTCATGTCACACTGACGGAGAAAGAATTGCGGGAAATGGCCAAGTCCAAAGAGCGGCTGGACGCTGAATGTGAAGCCGGAGATGGAGCCAAGCGCTCATGTGGTTTGGGGTTTTCTCAGGGTCCTCACGTGGTGTTGTGGAGTCTTTCTTGTGCTCCCATAGTCTTTATCCTCTCTTTCATTACCTCATTTTACTATGGCACACTCACCTGGTACAACGTGTTCCTGGTGTACAACGAGGAGAGGACGTTTTGGCACAAAATCACCATATGCCCCTTTCTCATCATTTTCTACCCCATGCTCATCATGGCAGTTTCATTGTCTCTCGGGTTGTATTCAGCTGTGGTGCAAGTGTCCTGGGCATTTAGTGAGTGGTGGATGTCAGTAAAGGACTTGGAGAAGGGCTTCTGCGGCTGGGCCTGTGGGAAGCTGGGGCTGGAGGACTGCTCTCCATACAGCATTGTAGAGTTACTCGACTCTGACACAATCTCTGGCAGTCTGCAGGGGAAAACTCCAGGAGAGAGCGTGCAAACGTCGTCTGTGTGAAAGCCTGAATAGATTTGTGGTGGCAGATAAGGCCAACTAGCTGGTCCACAGTGTATTGTTTAGAGTTTGTTTATATGTGGGTCTTATTACTGCTTGTGTGATGTAATGTAAGAATATGTAGCCATGATGGTACCATACATACCATATAAACCCACAATCACAGGTTTGTGAGTGAGAGAGTAGTCTTTGTGAACTTAATTGTTTGGTGTTATTTTTAGCCTTTAGCCACTAGTTTCCTGATAAACCCTTATTCAATGCCTTACTCCTCTTTTATGTAATTTGAGTTGAGTGAAACATTGTTTTCTTTCACAATCACTTGTGGTTTCTCATGTATCAAACTCGGCTTTTTATCCATGTATTTATGCTATTTATTTTATTTTTATTCTATTTATTTTAACGGATTGCATGTCTGGATTATTAGCAGTTGGTGCCAGGAAAGGCTTTTCCAAAACAAAGACCATGCTGGCTTAAATATGGGGAAAAGGCTTTTGATAATCCTTAAATGCTAAAGCCATATACCACGTATCAGATCTGATGAAAGTGGAAAGATGTTTTGTGAGAAACTTTGTGCAAAGTATTATTCTTTAATTGTTTTTTAATTAACAAATGATATGATGTATTTTCAGAATATAATTAAAATCTGTTTTTGCACAGATTGATTTTTTTAAGAGTGCAAAATTATTCTTTTGACAAATAAAATGTCATTGTGTCTCGATAATAGTCCCACTGAGAAGATATGCAAGCTACGCCTAATGTTACTTGTTACATTACACAACACTTGGACTCTTCAACATGTAGCAGATGAGATAATAAAACATATTATGCTCACTCCATTTGTTACACGCTGCAAGTTGTGTATTTGTTGTGTACAACATAAAGCTGACTGAAATGAATTATAGTCAGTATATTCATAATCTTGGACAAAATAAGTGGCATATTCTTGTGGTAATTGTTTGTGGGCCAATAACTATGCCTTATATAACAATTGCACAAACTGTACATAATGGTAACCATTTAATCCTTTAGGCTCTTAAAGCTTTTTGGCTTATTTGGCACAAAAAGTCTTCTGCTTAATTTTGTTCTTAAAGCATTAAGTCGTGCATAACAAGTCTCATTTGAAAATGTGCTTCTCTGCTCACGGATCTGCCCTGAAGTCAGAGCTACAGTGTCATCGTTAATGCCACTGTGTGCACATCCAAGGAAACGGCTTGCCTGTGCAGCATGACAAGACAACACGCATTGTATCACTCTGTATTGGGATATACTTGGGCCTGCACAGAAAGGAAAGCATCTAAATTTACTAAGTACAGTTTTCTAAATAGGCTGGTTAAATAATAAATGTATTGTCATTGTTTACTTCATGATTGATGTACCATCCTAATAATAATGCCCCTGCATCTAAACTGATGTGAGCTGTTTTTATGTTCTCAGTTTCCTAGCAATTGCTGTCTTTGCCAGCGCTTAAAGATGTTGGAATATACATTGGTGTCAAAAGTAGGACACATTTTTAAAGGTAATGGAGTTCAAAGTTATAAATATAAAAAAAAAGAATTGCATATACAACAAGTCCAAAAGTAACCAGACTGTGAATTCTCATACTTTAAGGTGCGCCTATTGCTGTTCATTTGCACACCCACAGCTTGTATAATCTCCATAGAAAATACTGCATCCAGTAGAATGAGATGTTGTACTCCAACATCAATACCTGACCTAGCTTCCAACATCTAGTGAAAAGCCTTTCTGACAGAAGAGTAGAGGCTGTTACTGCAGCAAATTCTCCATTGATACCCTTGATTTCAGGAGATAGTTTGGATGTGCAGGTGACTACACACTTTTGCACAGATATATACTGAAAAATATATAAGAAAAAAAACATAAGAAGAGGTTAAAAAAAACAGTAGCTGACAATGTATTTTGTCAAAAGGTGCTTTTACAGACTTTTGGATGTATATAGTGTACACTCTTAAAAAATGATTCTTCAAGGGTTGTTTAGTAAAACGAATGGTTTTATTTAGAACCATGATTTCCATACAAAACCATTTCATGCTTAAATGGTTCTTTGCATTGTGAAATTTTTCTTCAGATTGATGGAGAATATTTTTTGTATATGGTTCTTTATAGCATCTTTTTGAAAATGTTTCTAAATGGCACCAAAAGGGTTCTTCTATTGTTACATGTTTGATATCATAATAATAGCAGAACCCCATCAGTGCTACACAGAGCCATTTTCTTTCACCAAAGAACCGGTTAAGCATGAAATGGTTCTATATAGAACTCATGATTGTAAACAGAACCATTGCCACTACTAAAGAAGAACCTTAAGAGTGTAGGATTAGAAATAAACTATATGAACTCCATTCTCCACCACTGAGTCTCAGTCTGTGATTTCAGAATGACTATTTTCATCCCCTCAAAATCCTAAAACCTGCCCAGATGTGCTCGTGATTTAATACACAACGCCTACAGAACAGTTTAGGCCGATATGACGGGCGGGACATTTCCGGGCGGAACATTCTGAGTCTCGTCCTCCTGTTCACTCCGGACCCATAACAGTGTAAAACCGGCGGGATGGCGAGAGCGTCTAAGGTAATTCAAGAAATAAACGGAAACAAATCCTCATTAAACTGATTAATAAAGACAGATACTGTCTGGGAATAACTGTTAACATGGATGCACTTCATTATCTGTGCTGCTTTAGACTCTGACGACGGCAGAGAAGTTTGCAGAAAGCAAGTTGAGCGAGAGAGAGAGATTTTAAAGCACTTCAACTGTGACAGTGTTATAAGTTCATATTTTTATGGTTTTAATGTAGATCCCTTTAACTGTCGTTATTGTAACTTACACTCCATTATTTATACGAGCCCAGCTTCTTGTTTGAATTCTCCGTTCCACCTTAAATGGTGCAGCAGCTGCATTCATTCTGGCGACTGTATGTTCTGTTCTGAGTCGCTGCTGCACCGTTTAAAGACTCGAACAAGACTCGGACTTCAGCTTCGTATCATTTATTTTCTGTGTTAACAGGAGAAATTAATTTTAGTTTCAAAAGTGATTGAAGTGGTAGTTTGTTGGCCGCTCTTCGGCTTTAAGTTAGCTCGCAGCATCCCACTTAACTATAAACCAGTAACCTGGTTTAGGGTGTTTTATTCTGCATAAGGTTGAACTGTTCTAGTTGACATGGTAACCCAGATATTTTTAGTCAGGCAAATACAGACATGTTTCAACTTGTCTGTTTATTCTCTGGTAAATTGTTTAGCACCACCTAGTGGTGAACGTTTTTACCAGCAATCTAGTTAAAACTTATTAGAGGGCCAAAATAAAAAATGTGATCACACTTAGAGTGAGATCTTTCAGTTTAAACACTATGAAAACCCTATTCTGATGATACATCTTGATGTGGGAGGAATTTCTGAAAGACTGCAAGCACTATACGGAGAGTGAGCTCGCTATTTTAAAAGTTTCATTTTCTGTTAGCTGCTAATGCACAACCCAATGGTAGTATGATGTGTTTGCATATTGCATGTTGGTTATTGTACTGAGATAACACTGATGGACCGAAACAGAAAAAGGATACAAAATCATGAATTCTCTCAAACTGATAAGGTGGAAAGATGCAGTTCTGTGCTACAGAATATCGCATGATCAACAATGTATTTAGGGCTAGTTTTAGGCTGGAATGTCCATTTAAGGCTACTTATTCTTATTCAACAAATCAGTTTTGTATAATAGACTTTAGTGGATTATTTCCATGCCTAGGAGTGTTTTCTTTTTTTTCACCTACAGTGATCACAATCTAGCATTTACACACAATTAGTCATAAAGAAAAACACATTTAAGCATTTAAAGTTTTAAAAAAAAACACAACAGCAGTCATACAGAAAAGACACTTGTTGGAATCCAGGTTTTGTTCAGCCCAATCATTGGGAAAAAAGATTTCTTTAAAGAGATTAAGAGAGACTCTAACTGGCCACACATAGTCATAAGTTGTGATGATGTATATCATGTGTTGTGTGTAGATATGGTGCATGTTTGTAGCATTAGTATTATCTTTCTCTTTCTGTAGTCTGCTTTGGTCCTTTGCATGGATGTGGGCTTCTCTATGAGCAACTCTGGTCCTGGTCAGGAAGCCCCATTCGAGCAAGCTAAGAAGGTCATCCAGAAATTCATCCAGCGCCAGGTAAGTTGCTTTACTTTAATAGGTACTTGAAGAGGTACCATTTATTTCTTGATATGTACGCTTTGCATCTGAGCATTACTTTGCTACTATTTTAGGTTTTTGCTGAGAACAAGGATGAGTTGGCCCTGGTCCTTTTTGGTACAGATGAGACAAAGAATCCACTGGCCCAAGATGGCCAGTACCAGAACATCTGTGTACACCGACATCTGATGTTGCCAGATTTTGAGCTGCTGGAGGAAATTGAAGATCAGCTTCAGCCTGGTAGTCAGCATGCAGACTGTATCCTTTCTGAAGTTTCTCTGCTTACATAATACACACTGATTTATCGTCTCATTTAGGGTTGCGGCAGGAGAGTAATCTTTATATATGTCTAGATATTTTTATGTACATGTCTGCTAATATCGGTGTAGAAATGAAGAAATTAGGTCTAGGTCCACCTGGATTAACATTACAAGGAAATATAACATGTATTTCTGTAGACTTATATAGTTAAATATAATACTCTCAAAGGCTGCTGTTTTTTGTTTTTTTTTCTTTCATAAAAGGCACATCCTGCTTTTTTTGTGTGTTCTCTGGTGTTGTACCTTTTCCCTTGAGGTAATGTTTGTGGTCATAATTCATTTCTCATGACCATTTCCAACCTCTCTTTATCCCTTAGAATTAAATGGGCTGTTTGTTAATGTGTCTTTAAGACTGATAAATCAGCTCTGTTGTGATTAGCCAACCTATTTTTTGCCTCATTTGAAAAGCAGTCAAGGTTGAAACAGTCCTTATAACTTTCAGTGTGAATAGGCTGGGCTGAATTGCACTCTTAAAAAGATGGTTCTTCATGGTTTCTTTAGTAAAGAAAACAGTTCTATATATAACCATGAACACTCACAGAACCCTTTGTGTGATTACATGGTTCTTTGCGTCATGAAAACGTTCTTCTGATGGATGGAGAATGTGCTGTACGTGGTTCTGTATAGCACGTTTTTTAAAAGTGGTTCTATATAACACCAAAAAGGGCTCTTCCTTGGTTACAAGCTTGGCATTGTAGCAATAGAAGAACCTGTTTTGGTGCTATATAGAACCCTTTTCAAAAAGGTGCTATATAGAGCCATATACAGCACATTCTCCTTATGTTAAATGTGTTGATCTTTGTGACATCATATAAACAATGAATTTAAAATGGGCTGTTTTGCAGCTTAGTTTCCATATGTGGACTGGGGAATGAATAGCATATTTTAAAACATGAACAATGTTTCCTACATCAAACTCTTTTATTTCCAAAAAAAGAGGAAAAGTACATTTTTCATGGTATGGACCCCTTAATCTAGTAAATGTGCAGAGAGCAATATAATTCTGATAATTGTACATCCCTAGTCTTGTTACAGAGGGTTTATTTAACATAAATCGTAACAAAATGTAAGGGTTAAATGTTTATTCTTTTAAATCAACGGCTAAGATATTGTGGTAAATCTAAATTCAGCCTAAAATAGTTTACAGACTGAGAAGCTAAGATTGCTGTTCTGATCAAAAACCCGTTTAGGTCAGGTTATATATTATAGTTTACTGGAAGGATCTGATTGCCACTTTAAAGATTTATATTATATGTGATGTTTTTTTGTCTGTATTGTTGAGATTAATTTGAGATGAATACAGGTTTAAAACCTTTAACTTCATGGCTGACAGGGCTCGATGCACTTGTTGTATGCATGGATCTTCTACAAAAAGAAACCATGTAAGGATGTTTACTACACTACCTTTCACTGGCTGCTAATACACTTCAAAATTCCTGATGTTTGTGTGATGTGATGTTGTGTTTAGGGGGAAGAAATTTGAGAGGCTGAATATCTCCCTCCTCACTGACCTCAATACACCGACCTGTGCTGATCAACTGGACGTCATCATTACCAACTTGAAGAAAGCTGGCATTACCTTGCAATTCTTGTGAGAGCCTTTTTTAACAGTTCAGCACAAATTCAGCTTGCATCAGCACTTTTTAAATAGCATAGTCCAGGACTCGCTTAGTACTGTGAAAATTGGAAATCTGAGTAGCAGCTTTACTTTGCATAATTTGTTCATAAATTTATACTTTGCTGTGTAGCCTGCCATTCCCTGTGGATGCGGATGAAGGAGCTGATGGAGGAGGAGATGCGGCAGGTCCAAGGCATCCACCCCATGGTGGAAAAGGCCTGAGTAGGGAGCAGAAGCAGGGGCTTGAAATGGTCAAGCAAGTCATGACTTCTCTTGATGAAGAGGATGGCCTGGATGAGGTCTACACCTTCAGGTACAGAGGATTAAGAAATCTATTCTTTAAGAGCTTTTGCAACATCAAATCATTTTAATTTTAATTAAGGTTAAGCTTTTGGTTAGTTTAGGTGAAACGTTAATCATGCAAGTTTTTTTTGTTAAAATTGAAAGTAGTAACATTTACTGAGTTAAGAAAAAAAAAAACATTTTAAAAGTCATGGGCACGGTCTGATTTTACGAGAGTGTTATTGGACCACGTCATACATCTTTACATATTTAAGAGAAGGTCCGGCTCAATATTTAGGTCTGAAATGCAAAATCAGCATGATACTAATGAATGAAATAAGGCCTGATGTGTTTTATTTCTGTTGAGCAGCGACGCTGTGGAGAAGCTGTCCATCTTTAAGCATATTGAGAGACGGCCCATGGCTTGGCCCTGTCAGCTCACCATCGGCAGCTCCCTTTCCATCCGCATTGTTGGATACAAAGCAGTGAGTTCAGCTAAGTTTTAAAGCAGCTACAGGCATCAGTGGGAGAGCTAAAGACAAGCCAGAAATTTCAGCTACGAATCACTGGAGCTGAGCTGTGGGGGGTGTTCATATAGGAATAGTGTGTAATTGTACATTATCCTGTAGTCATGAAGGTAGTGTTTTCAGGAGCTGATTTTGGGGTCTTATTTTGTGCTATCCAGGTGTGTGAGGAGAAAATGAAGAAGTCCTGGGCTGTTGTGGATGCTGAGAGTCACCAGAAAGACGATGTGAAGAGAGAGACGGTGTATTGCCTCAGCGACGACAACGAGACTGAAGTACAGAAAGATGACACTATTCAGGGTGAGATCAGGGACCTCTGTGTCTGCTGGTTTTGGTGGCCGAGGCTAGTTTGCCATGCCCCTTCTTTATGAATTCTTAATTTCTTTGCACAGTTTAGAGGAGTTTGGATTGGAAATTCTTTTGATTGCAGTGCTTAGATTTTTTTATTTGGTTTGTCATTTCATGAAGGTAAATAAAGAGATTAGTAATATGTTCCAGTAGTAGTTAATTGAACCCAGTTACTTCAATCAATCTAACCCTTATGCATAACTGAAGCTAGACTTGATGACTGATTTGAATGTTATGACTGAAATTTTAGCTGACAATGAATTGCCATATAAATAGTTGCAATTAACGACGTGGTTGTCAATATGAAAAACAATTGAATTGTACTAAACTGAAGCCTAAAAAGAACAAATTGGCTGCTTCCTAACTGTCAATACTTAGTAGCTGACCATAGAAGCAGCTTTAGCTCAAATACACAAGAGTTACTCACCGCTGCCCTCTGAACATTACAGAACCAGTCAGAAGTTAAAATTATTTGTAACACTTTACTGTATGACAGCACTTGTAAGGCTACATGGAAATTAATTGCAATCAGCTCAATGAATTGTGAGCAGGCAATTACGTAATAGTTGAGAAAGGCCTTCCTGCAGCTCTGAAGTTCTGTTAAACTCACACATTTTCTTCCACCCGTTCAGGTTTCCGTTATGGGAGCGATATTGTCCCGTTCTCTAAAGTGGACCAAGAGCAGATGAAGTACAAGTCAGATGGAAAGAGCTTTGCTGTGCTAGGCTTTGCTAAGCAGGAGCTGGTGAGTCCTTTGCCACTAGATGGAGCACTTTTTCAGTAAACCAGAATATTCTACCTAGGGCCAAATTTCAGACAGTGAGTAGGAGTTGCCCTTCATAAATGATGTTCACCAGCTCTCCCTGTTTAGTGTGGCAGGTCAGACCACTATAAAAGAGAGGTGGCCTGAATTCAGTAACATAAGTGTTAAAATGAGGACATCAAGAACCCCAACCAGTATACAATAAAATAACCCATCCAGTACATAATGCTTTCTGTTAACTACAAAAACAAGTGTACTAAAGATGCAAGTGCTGTTTATTTATGTGTACATGTTTGAATCTATTTGAAGTGTATTGAATTTTTATTTTTCAATGCAGATTAATCGTCATCAGTTCATGGGCAACCAAGTGATTAAGGTTTTTGCTCCCAGGGAAGATGAGGTGAGGATAAAATTAATTTATCAGTTGAAAATTACCCATATTGTGACAAGTTATTGTACAGGAATGTTATTTATAACAGATTATTCCTAGTTCTAGACTAAAATATTCAGTTTAGAATACACATTAATGTTAATTTATTCCACCATCAAGCCTAAGGTGTATCTGTAAAACATGACTTACTGTTTGTCACTTGTCACCTTGTGGTCTGTGTATGTGCTCAGCATGCAGCCGTTGCACTCTCTGCTCTAATCCGCGCGCTGGACAGTCTGAAGATGGTGGCTATTGTTCGCTATGCTTATGACCGCCGCAGCAACCCACAAGTAGGAGCTGCTTTTCCCTGCCTCAAAGAGAAATATGAGGTATGTGTGTCTGTCATACTGAACTATGTATATATGCCACCCTATGTGTTACGAGTCAGTCTCACTCTTCCCTCTGGTCCCCAGTGTCTGCAGTATGTCCAGTTGCCATACATGGAGGACCTCCGACAGTTTATTTTCCCCTCATTGGAAAACAACAAAAAGTTTGCTCCCTCAGGTGAGAGCCCGACAAGTTACATTTCCAGCTCAAATCATTTGTACAAATTAGACAAAATATTGTGTGTGCGCGTGTGGCCAAGTGCAGTTTGCCTACCTTATTACTTTTCTTTAGGACAGTTAAAAATTCAAGAGCATGATGAGCATATTTGATGGTTTAGTATTTTTGAATGAATGAATCAATGAATCCATGAATTAATCCATGAATTAATGAATCAATCCAAAAAACAAGTATCAAGTATCTCCAAAATAGTAACTTCACAGGAGAAGTGTTAAAAATAAAAGAAAAAAGAAATCAGTCACAAAACTAAGCTGCAAAAAACATCCTGTTTGGAATTCATTGTTTTTCATCGCTTTAGCCCTGCCCATTCACACTGAAATTATAAGTAGTGTTTCAACCTAGACTACTTTTTGACTGAGGCAAAAATGCAGGGCAGAACAGAACTTGTTTACAAAAATAAGTTTTAAAGACATAGCATTGTACATGTACCAGATCCTGATAAGCATCTGAAACCAAGAACAGAAGGACTGATAATATTTAATGATGGTCTTCAAAGCTGTGACTTTGACCCTAGCCGTTTCCAAAGAGCACTTATACCTCTCTGTATCCAGAGGCTCAGCTGTCAGCAGTGGATTCTCTCATCAACTCCATGATGCTGGTGGAGGAGGGTGAAGACGGAAAGAAGGAGGACATCTTCAAAGTCAACCATATCCCCAACCCACAGTTCCAGAGGCTCTTCCAGGTAGGAGGTCCAGACAGCTTATTTTCATGCTCTGTTTTTGCAGAATTCTGCCTCAAATCAGCCAGGGGCATAGTAGGAAACTGCTATGCTTGCCTGGAATTGTCTAAAATGGCTTTGTAGACACAAATGAATCCTAATTATAGTCTGCAAAAGAATAGAGAGGGAGCAGCATTAGGTTTAGTCCAAAACTGCAATTATTGAATGTGTGGAAAAACCACCAACCCTCTATTTGTGCCAGAAGCTTTACGTGCTAAGCTCACCAGTGTACTGGCGCATATTTAGCAAACCTCAGTCTATGGATATGGAATTTGGAATTCCATATAGGCCTCAAGAATGTAATTTTTCGGTTGTCAGTCTTACGCTGCGACTTACTGCTTTTGTTTTGTCTCATTACCTCAGTGCCTACACCATCGTGGAGTGAACCCAGGTGCCCCCTTGCCTCCTGTAGACCCTTGGCTAAAGAGGATACTAGACCGGCCCCAGGCCGTCTCGGCCCGCTGCCAAGGCCCCCTGCAGGAGATGAAAAAAAGCTTCCCTCTGAAGGAGGTGGTGCGGAAGAAGGAGCAGAAGACTAGTGTGGACGTGTTTGGGAATGGGTAAGAATCTCTCTAGTCAGCAAAAAAGCTGGCGGCCTAATGTGTGAGAGAAGCGTTGCATTGCTAAGCGTTAACAATGATTTGACTTTAAAACTCCTTTTTTAGTCTAAGTGTAGGTTTAATTTATATTCAGGACAGCAGCTCTACACACTGGTTTTCCTGGAAAAAGTCTGAGATTAACTTAATGTTTTTAAGAAGGGATCTCTGCTGGTGTTGTAATGTACACCCTTATATGCTTTAATGTGATGTCTGGGTCTGAAAGTAAGTTTTCTGATTTTCCTCTGACTGCAGTGAGGAGCCAAATGCTAAGAAGCTGAAACTGGATGAAGAAGATAAGTTCAATCTGGCTGAGATTTCAGAGGGAAATGTTACCTCGGTGAGAGAGTTAAATGAGTGTTGACATAAATGACGTGTTAGTATTTTTCACTACCCATGTAGAATCAAGCAGCCTGTCTCATGGTTCTATAGACAGCTCATTCATGTGTAGCTCAGTTGGGTGAATAAAATAATGAATGCTTACTTTGTTATTTGACTGCTGTTTAACTGTTTTAATTTGTACTGCATCAACGTAATGTCAGAATAGATAATGACTTTTAGTGCAGCATAAATACGTAACATGAATGTTATTTATATACAAAAGGCGAAATACATCAAAATGTATATGATTAGCATTAGTCTGCAAGTAAGTCCTTAATGAGATGTTTAAGTCTTGAATACACTGGCTCTCTAATGCTACTTTTTTATTTCTCTTCAAGGTTGGTAGTGTTAACCCTGCAAAAGACTTCCGTGCTTTAATTCAACACAAAACCATTCCCTTTGACCAAGGTAAGATTTGAACAGGCCATTATAGATATTTTTTAATCTGTAGAAGCCAAGAGGAGTTTCAGCTTTAAACTGTTGACGAGGTCATAAGCTGTGAAGCATTAGTAGAAAAGCTTCATTATATTATGTAGTTATGGTCTCATGAGTGCGATAAAAAAGAGATTTTTTTAATGTGTGTTATTCAGTCATCGATTTAAACAAAGTAGTTCAGAGTGTTTTGATGTGAAATGCTCTGTTCGAGAGAAACTTGCTAACTCGAATTTCTTTACAGTGGTGGTAATAGGAATCAGGTGTCATGATGTCTACAATTCAAAAATATCCATTTTATTTAATTTCCAAAATGACCAGAGAACCTTCGTGTGTCTTCTCAGTTTGTATATGTAATATTTATGATTTTGCTAAATTTACCAAAATCATACACTGAATATCCCTCTCTGGCATTAGTAGATTTTAAAAATGTGTTTTAGGACCAAAAACAATTTTGCTAAATGGTTGTAAAACAATGTTTCAAGCAACAGACATCATATTCAGAACCATTTTGTTTAATAACATCATATGATGCAGGTTTTATGGGATTAAGCACTTCAGACATCTGGTTCCTATCACCACCACTGTGAACAATTCTGACTTGGCTTCTCTAGAATGGAGCATTTCACATTAAACCACTCTGAATTACTGTTTATATCGTAACGCAGTTATGCAGAACATTTAGATAATTTGAGTGGAATTCCTATTGAACAAGTTTGTAACTGATTTTTGGTTGATCTTTTCAAGCTGTAAGTTCTGTGTTCTGAATAAAGATATTTGTTTTCTGCAGTTTTTATCCTCATATTTTAATTTCTGGCTTATTTTGCCAAGGAATGTTAAATGTTACTAATTGATCATATAAAGTAACTGTACTGTACACTGTTAATTCTGAATACAGAGGTAAAACTGTTGTTGACTGGAGGGCTAAACAGTTAACCATATTTTAATAATCTCACTTCTTGGGCTCAACAGACATTTCAAAAAGCTCCCAATGCTTGTGTTCCATTTGGTAGTGTATCCCCTCAGAATTGAACATTCCTGATGCTGCACAACAACAGCTGAAACAGATCACAGAGGTTTCTGATAGTACTTTGGGCCTTCTGTCTGATCTCAAATGAGAAACAGGTGTTCACAAGGCCTGGTGACACACTAGCACTGGCATAATGATTATGTATTGATATGTATCTCTGTTAAATGCATGTGATAATCGCGTTCGTATTGTGAGCAGTAATAACTCCAGTTGTCACCTGTGTCATAATGATGCATGCAGCTCCTTGTCTGCCTCTTGTCTTGCTGTCCCCAATACACTCTTTGTTTTGGGTCCTTGACAGCATGTGAGCAGCTAACCCACAGGATGGAGCAGTTGCTGGGCAACAGGAGCACTGACTACTACATGAAGACCATCACCTGCATCCAGGCCTTTAGGGAGCAGTCTGTAAAGGTGAATGCTCAATTAACGCTCAGTATTCAATTAGGGTTCACACAAGGATCAGTTACTGTTAGCCTATAGCTGAACTAACACGCATGCTTTCCAGCAGACAAACTAGTATCTGTTGCTGGATGCCCCACATCTAGACTAACATCAACACATGACTAAATAAGTAGCTTTCACACTCAGTTGATTGATAAGACTTAAGGTCAAAATTTAATGCTTTAATCGAAATCATTTATGCAGTTACATAATTGCTAAAGGCAGCAATTAGTGTTTTGTAGTACGCCCTTTACACCGCAAGTATTTTAACTTGCAAACAACAAATGAGCTGTTTCTGAAATGAGCACTCTGAATCACAGGAATTTTGTTCTGAGTGCAGCGAACACTCGGATGTTCCTGTTGACTGTTCTGAGTGTTCTAACAAAGCACAGATGTTCACACAAGCTGGCAGATAATAGGACTTTTTGCACACAGAGTTCTGTGACTATGTACTGAAACGTGTTAATCACAGTTAATAATCATTCTCACAAGATTGGTCAAAGCAATTTGAGTTCTGTTTCTTTTGAACATTCCTACAAAGAGCAAAGGAGGCATCTGTACTGCACTAAAGCAAGCATTCTGCAACTTTCTAATTATTTAAAGGTGGTCACTAGACCTTTTTATTGCCTTTTAATAAACATAACATCTATCCACATAAATAGGAGTATCTACATATATAGAAATAGTATATTTACTTTGTGTGCTTTGTGTTGTGCATTATATGGCAGTATTGGTGTATTTCATTGCAAACTATGAGCTTAGAAGTTTGATTTGTGTGGAACAGTAGACAAGCTGGATATACTAAACTCAAAAAAGCAGTAACATATGACTAAACTTTCCAGGTTTCAAATGCAGAACTTTTCAACATCTACATGCAGTCTCTGAAGAAGAGTGTTCCAGACAGTAGTCCTCAGGAATTCTGGGATCTGCTTGTTCAAGGTCTGTATAGGCAATTGTAATGGGACGACTCACAAAAATCTAAATTCAGTTCTATGCCATACAGTGGTATCTCAAAAATAAGAACTGGAAACCACTAGTTATGATACAGTACAGTGCGCTACAATACAATTTGATACAATACGATATACAGTCTAGGGATACACACTATTTAAGTATGACTGCGCAACAAGTATTTTAGACCCATACTTGACGATGTATTTATTGAACCCCAGAACAGCAGAATATTTAGGTGTTGCTGGGTTAATACATTAAGATATCTAAATTTTATTCATTTTACTGATAATTTTTTTGAACTCTCTTCAAATATGTGATATATTTCTCTGTAATAGGGATGCACCAAAATTCCAGCCACCAAAACATTCTGACCATTTTTCGACCAAAATGTTTCTGTAGGGTCAGGTTTTAAAATAACAAAAAAACAATCACAAATGGCGGCGCCAAAGTGCAAAGTATAACTGAAAAGTAGTGGAAGTTGCTGTCTTGGATAACTAGCCATTCTCTGTTGTTGAGGATGTTTGATTACATGACGCGTTCTGTAGTCTACATGGTGTAATAATTTCAGTACGTTATATTACGTACACTGTTTAAGTTATTGACAGCTCAATTGTGTCCTGTTGAAAGCAGATTTAATCAATAATAAAAGTGTATCTTCTTTATTATGTTTAGTATATTTATTTAAAAGCATAGATAAAATGGCAAATTAAGAAAAAAAACTTGGTTTCCGGCCAGGTGTATCTTGAATTTCAGTTTTGTTTTTAGCCAGGAATTTTCATTTTGGTGCATCATTACTTCATAATGCTAACCCAGGTTCACTTTCTACATTTTATAAATGTTTATATATCAGCACTGGTATAGGAGAATATGTACATTAAAGTGTTGGCTGTCAGCATTGCCCCTCAATATCGATGCATCCGTAATTACATTCCTAATACACAGTACAAACATAAATTCTCCAAATGAGCTTTAAGCAGACACAATTATCACTAACTCTGTTTGCAGATGCTCTAACATTAATCAGCAAGGATGAAGTGGAGAGCAGCACAGTGTCCAAACAAGAGGCAGACCAGGTGCTTACAATGCTTTCGCTCTTCTTTGATAACCTATCAGTAAATATTGGTTACTGTGTGGCTGCTTTACATTTTTTTACCATGTGTATGTTCACTTATATCTAAATGAGTTTTATCTCCCTAGTTTTTGATGTCTGAAGAGGAAAAGGAGGATGCAGTTATTCCTATCCAGGACGATGCAGGAGATGTGGATGATTTGGTAAGTGTGATTTATGGTGTTAAAACAGTGGGTTCGATCTGTAGCTTTTTACTGATGCGTTTGTACTGTGCTTTTTGTGATCTGTTCTTATCTTTTTTTACACAGCTGGACATGATGTAAACATCCATCTATCCGTTGGCTAGTGCTTGTTCCTTTTGCTTCATTTTCATTCCTCTTCATCAGAGCACCTGATGGTTTCTAGTTTTTTTGTAAAGAAAGGAAGTGTAGTTTTAGCGAAACACAAGACTGTTTACCACCGTCTTATGCCAAATAAATAATTAATTAAATAAAAGCAGAATGTGTGAAATGTCTAATAAGAAGAAAATGGTTTTACGTTTTGAATGCTGCTTTGAATGGGTTAATTTTCTGTATCCTCTGTTAACCAGTGTTTTCCACTCATGGTGTGATCACTCAGCAGGGGCTCATTTATAGAAATACTTTGTTCCACAATTTCCACCCAGCTGTCAGCTTTTAAAGTGTATGTATCTCTAACTTGATCTTATTGAAATCAGATCACAGTTCATTGCACATATTGCAAGGTTGGAGACTCTACAGACAATACAAAAGAGAATGCCAGATTTTATTGTTAGACATAATGAAGTTGGTTTGGATGAAGTTTTCCTCTGTTTCACAGCTAAATACTGTAAATACCCTTTTCCTACTGTGGTGCACCTTTGATGTTTCAAATATAACCTGCTGTAATTTTCTAAAGACAAATAAATGCCTTAACTGACTGTGTTCATTCTGTTGTTATGTCAAAGTTTAAAACCAGTCTTTCACATTTGCACATTTAAATGCACGTTTAGAAATCAATTTTTTTTTGGGGGGGCGTTCTTTCTACCAGAACACCTCTGTTTTTGAAGTGTTTGAAAGTCCAGACTAATCTTAAAGAAGTTAAAGTAATTTAAGTAATTTTTTTAACTCACTAATTGATATCAATGTTTGTCACTGTCAGTCCATCAGTAATGAACACATGAATGATAATGTTCACACAATAATGAATGAATGAATGTTTAAATGTATATATGCCAATAAGCATACATACAGTAAAAGTGATAAGAATACTAAAAAGGTTGCTTTTGTCTTCTGAGCTAATTTAAAAAACAAAGGTTGGTTCCAGATTTCTCTGCAGCACCTCCAGCCATCACAGATTCTTTAAAATTCCATCACCAGCTTACCTGATTTAACATAATGATTAGCCAAAACAGGCGGTGAATGATAACTACGAGTAATACTGGGCTGCCATGGGGGGGGTGGGGTGGGGTGGAAATCATTTAACAAATACATTGGTGTTTGTAAAATTACTACTTATGATAATATTTGTATTTATTGCAGTATTAGTGTTTTCATGAATAAATCAATGCTTACCACCCATGAAACTTCTCAAGTGCCTAAAACCTTTGCACCATACTGTATTCTCAAAAGAAAAAAAATAGGTTTTCTTTTTGGTTTTGTGTGCTGATGCAACTAATGAGCAATACTAGTCACACAAGACAAATTAGCACAGTTGTGAGCAGTTTATTTTACACTGATGTGAAATTAGCAGGATGTGATAAAAAAAATTAAAATGCACTGGAGCTTGACTGATTGTCAAGAGAAAATAAAGAAGATAGAGGGAAATCTCCCAGCCTTTAAAATTTGTAACGTACTTGTAACCTAAATGGAGTCATGAAGGACGAGCCTGAAGCTCCTCCTCCTTCCAATCTAACATCCTATCAATTTCTCCCTACTACCTTCTGTTTTCTATGACAAAGTTTCTGCACCCCAAAACCGCCCGATTTCTTCCCTGTTCCGCAGTCTGGCGTTTTAGCTTAAAGCAGAAGTCACATAAAACTCCAGCCCAAGTCTTCAATTCTGTCCCCTCAGTCGGTCATTTTTCATACTCCGACCAAGTGTAATATGTAAAAATAAAATGTAAGGAGAGAAAGGTATGTTTTTTTATCTCTTGGAAATGTAATTGAGTAAAAGTCCAAGTTTCTGGTTTCAGTAATGCTTGAAGGATCATTTTGGATCATGGTTACACCACTGTTAAAACTACCTATTGTACTGCCACGCGTGCAGCTCTTGGTCATTCCAACCACAGTTTTGTTCACTTCATACCAGCATACAGGCAGAAGCTCAAAACCAACAAGCCTGTCGTCACAACAGCGAAGAGATGGACCAGTAGAGACACTGAAAGGTACAAGCCTGCTTTAAATCCACCATCAACTGTTTCTGAAGGTGCGACACAGAGCCTAGACGAATATACAGACACCGTGATGTCATACATCAAATCAGTTTCAGCAAGGACAGCTGCATTTCAACCACAGCATGAGTGAAATACAACAAGCAGGATGTTATCAGGCTTTTCAACAGACAGAAGGTGAGAAAAGATCTGGGGCCAGAGTCTCTCTGACCACCCTAAAGCACTGCTGTGACCAACTAGCACCAATTTTCACCAACATCTTCAACAGATTGCTGGAATTTTGCTCTGTTCCCACATGCTTCAAAACATCTACCATCATTCCGGTCCCCCAAAAAACAAACATTACTGGACTAAATGACTACAGGCCAGTATCCCTGACCTCTGTAGTCATGAAGGCCATTATAAACCCTCTGCTGGGTCCGCTGCAGTTCGCATACAGACCTAACAGGTCTGTTGATGATGCAATCAGCTTGGCCCTGCATTTATGCTACAGCATCTCAACAGTCCTGGAACCTACACTAGAGTTCTGTTTGTGGACAGCTTTCAACACCATAGTGCCAGTAGTGCTGGTCAAACTATCCTAGCTGCTTGTGCCAGATCCCGTCTGCCAGTGGATCATGGACTTCTTGACAAACAGGAGACAGCAGGTGCGACACACGTCAAACCCTCAGTACTAGTGTACCACAAGGTTGTGTGCTCTCACCCCTTCTCTTCGTTGTGATTGTGTCTCTAAGGAACCAACTGTAAAGATCCTAAAGTTTGCAGATGACCCCACTGTGGTGGGTCTTATAGTCAATGGAAATGAGCCTGCCTACAGAAAGGAAGTAAAACAGCTGGTGTCCTGGTGCAGCAGCAACCACCTGTTGCTCAACACAAAAAAGACTGTAGAGATGGTGGTGGACTTCAGACACAACGCCCTTCCCCACACCTCAATGGCTCTGTGGTTTCCACTGTGCAGTCACTCAAGTTCCTGAGCACCACCATATGGAGTGACCTGAGGTGGGATAGCAACACAGCCCTCATCACCAAGACAGCACAGCAGAGATGTTCTTCCAGAGACAGCTGAAGGAATTCAACCTGCCTCAGAGCCTGATGATCCAGTTCTACACAGCGAGCATCAAGTCTATCCTCACATCCATTACCATCCGGTTTGGTTCCTTCACCTTACAAGAACGAACCAAACGTCAGTGTGTAATCAGGACAGCTGGAGGACCATTGGATGTAGTCTGCCAATGCTACAACAGCAGGGTGATTAAGTGCACCGGCAAAATAACAACTGACCCCTCTCATCCTGGACATCACCTCTTCCAGCCACTTCCCTCTGGTAGAGGATTCAAGGCCATCAAAGCCAGCACAACAAGACAGGCTGCCTGTGGTGCAGTGGATCAACTACTTCACAATCTTCAAAGGCGACACAGTTAAATTACTGATTGTTTTAATTACATATTGCACAATAAGATGATAAAGCAGCCGTCTGCCAGTGTTCTGTCTTCATGCTTACTAGTAGTTTACATCTTGTGGTGTAACCTCAAAAGGGATGTAAGGTTTGAAGATTCTGTTCATACCACTCACATCTCTGCGTTCACCTTGGATGCAGATCTTGATCTTCTGAAAGTGTATTTTTTCACAATCAACAGCTTCCATTTGTTATTTGTGAGGTCATTTGCTGAACAGATCTTGTCGTCTATTTAATGATGTACAGCTTGCCTCACTTCCTAAGCTGACAGACACCAACAACACATTCCAAAAGCAAATGTAACTCTGTAATTAAGACTAGCTCTGAAATGAACACACCTGTTTAATTAGGCACAGCTGCAAAGTGTATTTTCCTAAACCTCTGCTTTTGGTTCCCTGAAACAACATGAATATTTAAAATGTGCCAATTAAAATCAACACTAGAAATGGATACAAATAAGTTTAACACTCCCAGACTGCACACGTTGAAAGAGTATTCACAGAGATCTCAGCCAAAACTTGGTGAGGGACGTGTCTTCTGAGGACAAGTAAGTGAATTACCTGTTATTGTCATCATATCTTCATTTGTGCATTTGAGGCTTAAACATCAGACCTTAGTTTGATTGTGTGTGTGTGATGTTGCTATGTAAAGACATACAACGTGATCTGAAAAACTCCCACGAAATATGACCCAACGTCTCTGACTTTTGAATTATTATTTCAGCTTTTGCAGGGTGATACACACCATATTTTAGCGTATATATCACACGTGTGTGTGTCTGTGTGTATGTGTTTATTTATATACTTATATGGTGCTGCTTTGAGTTTTCGTTTGGCTGGCTTCATTTTCCACACAGTAGGAATGCAGACCTAAGTACACATAAAATAATATAGTAACTGATTACATGGCTTTTCTTGAGTTGACTCAACTTGAGGACACCAGAGTTCACACAACTCAAGACAAGTCAGGTCAAGTGGCTTTTATTGTCATTCCATCTATGCACAAGTGCGCAGTGGAGCGGACTTACATTCCTCCAGGAACAAGGTGCACCATGGAACAAACTTCTTAGTTGAGTCAAGAATTCTCCCAGCTACTGTTTCTAGGTCTGCATCTCAGTTAGATAAACAAAACTGAATTTGTGCTTTTAACTCAATGTCTCCACCAGCTGGCGCTCCTTCTATCATACAGTCCCATCTGGCATAGTTTACTTTTGGGCTTCCAGATATGGACAGCTGTGGCATTGTTGGGATTCAAACTCACAACCTCCTGATGTTGGGATGAATTATTAGACAGTTGCACCACATGAGACTGTGCCATGCTTTAAAGTTAAAACAACAAATATTTTCTACTGTGTATTAAACACTTGTAGACACAAATGCTAAGTTGCTTCATGTGTTCCTGAGTCCACCACAGTGGACTAAGCCAGTTGTGAGTTAAGGACATCCATAACTGAGTACCCAAGAGGAAAAATGTCTAGCAGGATTGTATGATGGAAAGAGTCCTGGCCAGAGAGGAAGTTGGGTATAAAAAACAAGTTCATTTTATTTACTGAGATGCTGAACTTAAAAATGTAAAAAGCTTTTGACTCAACTAAAAAGTGTGAACTGTGTGAACTCTTGTGTCCTCAAGTTGAGTCAACTCAAGAAAAGCCACGTAATCAGTTGCTATATCATCTTGAGTTGAGCTGACTTCTCATTTTTAACAATGTATGTACTGAAAACCATCAATGTTCACCAATGTAGTTTAGCTGATCTTCCCCTGAAGTCCATGTTAAATGGATAAACAGTGCATGGAGCAGTGATGGAGGAGTGAGGAATAGTTTTTTTACAGAGAAGTAACTTAATACAGATCTGTTAACATTCAGCTTTAGGTGACAGGCTTCCTATCAGCCCTTACTCACTATCTTTTGAGAGCTAACAGATGGAGGGGGGGAAGGTGAAATACAGCTGTGTGAGGAGCTGTGTGGTGTAATTATAGAGGAAAGGCTGGTGTGAAAGAGATAGTAGAGGAGAAAATCTTTGAGTATCAGTGAATCTGCTGAAGAAAATGCATTGTCTAGCGATTAGGATGGAAACGATTATTTGCCATATAATCGAAGTAATGGGTATTAAATGTGAGCTTTAAAACTGTTAGTGTTATTGCTTTTATTTCTCTGCAGGGATGAAAGGCTGTTGGATTTTAGTGCTTCTCCTAAACTGCAGAGAGGTCAATGAGAGATTTTCATTAGAGAACACGGAGATGTTCATTGTCTCCTAAAACTCTTCCACTCTGTCTCTTAGCTTGATGACAAAGCTTTCTGCCCTGTCTCACTTTCAGAGGTGAGTAGAGTAGTGTTGTTACTTCTGCGAATGATGACTCAAAAAATAAAAAAAATAAAAAGTAGTGTTGCTACATTTTACATTTTATGTTTTAATTTTTCCAACTTGTTAACCTCAAGAAATGAATAAAACTTGTGCACTAAAAATGCCTTATTTAAGTTCTTTGTAGAGGGTGTGTTAACTTCTTCACTTTGAAAATCAATAAAACATTTATTGAGGGTGTTCAAACTTTTGCATATGACTGTACGTGAACAGGAGTAAAAGCTATCATGTGAAAATACTTGAGTACGTGTAACTGAGTAAGTTGTGATTTCACGCCTCAGCTCACGCTGCCTCGTACACACTTCACTGTTCATTTCATTTTCACTTTATGTGGTTTTTGCATGACTAGGCTCATAAATGGTGAATACAGTGCTGTGCAAAGTGTATTTTCCTAAACCTCTGCATTTGGTTCCCTGAAACAACATGAATATTTAAAATGTGCCAATTAAAATCAACACTAGAAATGGATACAAATAAGTTTAACACTCCCAGACTGTATGCATTGAAAGAGTATTCAAAGAGATCTCAGTCAAAACTTGGTGAAGGATGTCTCTTCTGAGGACAAGTAAGTGAATTACCTGTTATCGTCATCATATCTTCATTTGTGCATTTGAGGCTTAAACATCAGACCTTAGTTTTGATTCTGTGCGTGTGATGTTGATACGTAAAGACATACGACGTGGTCTGAAAAAGTCCCACGAAATATGACCCAACGCCTCTTCTCTTTTGAGTTATTATTTCAGCTTTTGCGTATTTTAGCGTATATATTACACACACACATATAAACATATGTACATACATATATATATATATATATACACACATATATATATATATATATATATATACACACATATATATATATATATATATATATATATATATATATATATATATATACATGTGTGTATGTGTTTATTTATGTACTTATATGGTGCTGCTTTGAGTTTTCACTTGGCTGGTAAATGGTGAATACATTGCTGTGCAAGAGTCAGAAACCACCTTTTAATTATTTAACCTCCAGTCAAAACAGCCATTAAGTACAAGTTATTCAATTTCAGGATATATATATATATATATATATATATATATATATATATATATATATATATATATATATATATATATAAAGGAGCTCAGATGTAAGATCATCCATTTTCATAAAGAAGAGGAAGTTATATGCAAATCAGTTCAAAAATAGATTATGAGAAGCAGAAAATGCAACCAACCTCTAAGACTGAACTTTTCAGGTGTTTAAAAATATCCCTGCAGATTTTTTTAAAAAACTGAAAGCAAGACTCCTGAAAAGAATGGAAGCTGTGAAAAGTGGACAAACAAAATTTAAAAAAAGATGTTATATTTAGTTGTTGAGGCTTCTGTGTAATATTATGTTAAATATATGTTATCGTTTTTTTTTCTTGACACTGAAAAATGAATGCCATATTGAATGGTTGTTTTGACTGGAAATTAAATGCATGCTGGGTGGTCTCTGACTAGCTCAGTACTTTAAATATGAAATGTAGTAAACTATGAGCTGTAAAAGTTCATTAGAGAATCACACACCTAGCACAGCAGAAAAAGGATAAAAGAAGCTTCTACTATTGTAATGGGAGTTTGAAATCTAGCTGTCAAGTGCCGTCCACTGTCAGGGGTCACCAGCTGGCTACATCTGTTTGTGTTTGGCCTAGTCCAGGTCTGCCCAAAGTGTGTCCCGTAGGTCAAGGTTACTTGTAAGGATGTTTGATTTGGCTGGCCAGAAAATCACTCCAAAGCCACCTCCTCACCTAATGAGAGGACAAACATACTTTACTACTATAAATAACTTATTAAATGCTTATTTATATTAAAATTGTATTTTTGAACTAAAACAGTAAATTGTTTTAAATTACATTTATTTATTAAAACCTACCTGCCTTATTTATTTGTATAGTCTTTTTTGGCCCAAGTGGACCCCCAAGACAAAAAGTTTGGGCACTCTTGATCTAGATGGTTCTGAAAAACGAATGCTGCCACCACAAAAATGATTCAGCAGCAAAGTTCCTGCACAGGAACAACATCTATAAAACCCGATGGCATTCAGGTCCTTCATTTTCTGTCACAGTGCAAAGCCTGAACCATCCTAAAATAATAATACAGTAAATCATGTAGCACAGAAACTCTCAAACATTTCTGTCGATTCTAATCCCAAACTTCTGTTACATACAGTACTTTTTAGTCTTATGGCCATAATGACCTGATATTACCTTGATACTATTTCATCTCACGTGTCATTACTCTCGCTCCTGAGCAAATGTCTCTCTTCTTGCCACATTTCTGTCAGCTTAATGAAGAAGGAATGGAGTAGACCGCCTTAGAAAAGAGATTTTTTTCTTTTTCTTCAGGCAGAGATTTGTACTCTGCACATCTGCCACATCATTTTAATGTCTTCAGTTTGGAAAAAATTGTAACAACCTGTAATGACTATCATTTCAAACTTTGAAAGGGAACAGTGCAGCACTCTGATGTTCTCAATTATACTTTATCCTTTTCCTTCAGTTAGGCCTCCTGAAAAAGAACATAAAAGAACAGTGAGGAAGAGGGCTGAGGAGGAGTGTTCCAGTAAATGCAGCCAGTTCTGGATATTACAATCTTCTCTTTCAGGCTATGAGGCTGTGCAGTTGTATTATGTTATTTTTTATGTAACCTTTAAGATTGCTCCATCCATCTTCTAAGATGATTATCCCTCTGGGTCACGGAGGGTGATGGAGCCTATCCCAGTCTTCATCGGGTGTAAGGCAGGAAACACCTTGGGCAGGTCACCAGTCCATCGCAGGGCAGACACACAGACATTCACACACACCTAGGGGCAATTTAGCATCTCCAGTTGGCCTGGCTGCATGTCTTTGGACTGTGGGAGGAAACCCATGCAGATATGGGGAGAACATGCAAACACCATACATCAAGGACCCTGGTCACCGGGCCGGGGAATCGAACCCAGGCCTATCTTGATGTGAGGCAACAGCACTACCCGCATGACAAAATGGACACTGCTGCTTTTGTCTTAGTACAATGAATATTTATGGCCTATGTGTCATAGGAGCTGACGCAAATGATCTTTGTGAACCTCAGTGCTTTAATACTGAACGTTAAATGCCAAAATGTACTGCATTATTTGTGCATTATTTTGACAGGTACATCAGGATTGCCACAATTGTTAAAGTGAATGATCTGTAGAACTTTTTCCTCTTGTTTTTGTTCTTCCATGCTTCTCTGTTCAATCACTGAGATCAAGGCATGAACATTTTTTTCAGAATTCCCAAGTTTGATGCACTAGAAAAAAAAAAAAAGTGTAAGGCTCAACTGCAAAGCGTGCGCCTGGTAAAATGTTTGATACCTCTTCCTCTAAGACATTAAACTTTTATACTCTTCTCAAACAGGCTTCCCTCCTCCTACTTCAAGTCATTTCCAAAAGCACTGCAGCAAGAAGGCGCTGACTTCAAGAAAAGTGTGAAGAGAAGTGGGGCAAATGAATTCATAGTGAACTCTCGACAACCCCCCTCTCCCAAGAAGGCTGTTATTGTACCTCTTGCCCATTGATATCAGCTCTCCATGGATTGAATTATTCAGCGGTCAAAGACAGACAACTCGAAACTTGGCAGATTCTGGCCTTTTAAAAGCGCCGCCTGCTCATCCACATCCAACACAGCCAAACGGAGGCAGGCCAAGAGTGACTGTGTCTACAAATCCTTACAAAACACCCTCTATGTTTGTGTTTACCATTTTATATGGAAATCCATCTCAAAAATTCATGCTCATGTTCACAATGGCTTACTCGAAGTTTATTTCCTTTTCAGTAGATGTGAAATGGCAACAACACAAAAATAATCTCAAAAAACACCATCGTAAAATGTGGAAAATCGGGAACGTCGGACATAAGCACTTAATGGAAACCCATATGACTGAGACAGCAATGTTTTTTTCTTCTTTAACACTTGAGAAGCGTAAGAGTCCTCTTCATTGAGTCAGAAATCTTAGTCTCGCCCTTTGGGAAAAGGCTTATGAGAACAATTTCCGACTGAAAACGGTTATGCTGTAGAATTGTAGAATACATAATGTCCATAGAAGAGACATGACAATGCAGACCTGCTCTCTCAGCGTTTCAGGAGATACTGGCCAGGTTGTGCTTTGTGAATGAGACAGAGGTGACTGCCTGCTGTGTAACTTCAGCAAATGGACTGCTTTCTATGCTGTTTTTCCTGGAGAGCTCACCCTTGTTTAACATGTGTTTAATGCAAGTTAAACATGAAAGTAAATGTGTGACAGACTGATTGAGGGACACAGCTGTGTCAGAAAGGTACTGTGCAAAAGTCAAAGACCATCTTTCATTAAGTACATTTCCAGTCACATTGGCCATTGAGTACAAGAGTTGTACAAAATGCACAAAACGTATATTTAACAGATAATTAAACAGAAGCCTAAAGAACCAAACAAAATCTAAACCTCCATTCTTTTCAGAACACTTCCTTTCAGTTTTTTAAAGAAACCTGCAGGGATGTTTTTCCACACTTTCAAAGTTTAGTCTTAGGAGTTGGTTGCATTTTCTGCTTCTCACCGTCCAAGGAATTGAGAACACATTGAAAGATGTTGAGGTCTGGGATGGCCAAGCCATTTTCAGAAAGGGCTTCTTGACAGCTACACATCCTTTCAGACTCATAGCACAGAGTTGTCTTCTCACAGTAGAAGGATGGACAGAAACCCCTGTGGATTTTTTTCAGATCTGCAGTAAGTGATTTTCTCCTCTCTCTCAAAGATGAAAGCTTTAAGTGCTCTTTATCTGATGGGGACAGTTGTGGTGGTCTACCAGGTCTTGCGTGGTTGTTAGGAGTCCTATTTTTCTGTACCTTTTAATATGTTTCTGAACTCCACTTTTAGAAACTCCTGTCACTTATTATTCTTTGACTTGCCCCTTCCTTTTGCAAGTGGATTATCTTCAACTTAATCTCCTCAGAAATATTCCCTAAAAAAATAATAACTTGTACTTAATGGCAGTTTTGACTGGAAAATTTGTGAATGAAGGGTGGTCTCTGACTTTTGTACAGTATTGTACATAAGAAATTTGTTTTTTCACTCTCCAGTACCACAACAAAAGTATCCCACTATGTCATCCCCTCTATTATACCAATTCATGTTCTGCTCTTCAGTTAGATGGGACACAGCGTCCAAAGCCCTGAGCAGGCCCATTTCAACCCAACAAAATATGCACTCCACACAGGAACAGCACTGTGCATTTGTTCCATTTTGGACAAGGCCTCCTGTTTATATGAAGAAAACGATCACCTGTTTGTGCTTTTTTTGACTGTCAGAGTCTGCAATGATAAGGCCTTTGGTCCCGCTTTGCTCACACAGTGGTTACTCTCATGACCAGTTCTCTGGGCTGGTGGCTGCTGTTGCTGGTATTGCTGGGCTGGCTGCGCAGCTCGAGGGGCCGAAGGTGGCTCAGGAGATGGAGGAAGTTGTAAGGACAGTGATGGTCAGTCATAGCTGCCCCATTGCCATGGTTATGTGTAGAGTCGGTGTGTGATGCCATGGCATTCGGTGTTTCAGGGGACGCCGCGGCTGCGGCGGCCATTAGAGAGGAGGTGGAGGGTGATATGGCGGCTCCAGCCTGCTCCTGCTGCTGCAGCAGAGAGAGTGTCCACTCACTTTCGCTGGCCTTCAACTCTTCACTGTCCCTCTTCTTATCATAGTTCAGCACTTTCCACTTCTGATTCACCGCCTGCCAGCGATGGAATATGCGGAACACAGAAGGGCCCTCGTGGACAATCAGAGCTGAGAGAGATACAAAAGAGTGCTGGTTATACACCGTAAATCAAAGTCTGGAATCAACATTTACAGTAATACAAAACCAATTTTATTGGAAATAAATGCAAAAGTAATTCTAATATGTTGTTAATTCTGTGCAACTTCACAGTTTTTAAATAATCCATACTAGGTTAGAAAGTTGTAAATTTTTTTTGATTAAAAAGGTTCAAATATACTTATAGTTTTTTCTATTACTGTTGAGCTTTATTACCTGTTTGTAAAGCATTTTTAGCTGCCACTGGTAAGAAATGTGCTCTATAAATAAAGATGTTATTATTATTATTATTATTATTATTATTATTATTATTATTACTTAATGACTGAGAGCACTGTGTAGCATCCAGAATGACGTTATAATGGAATAAATATCCATAACACTTCATATTTCAAAAGTAGTGATGAAATCTGAGGCAGATAACTTAAAAACAAAAAGATTTATTTATCGCTCTTTAACATTGAATAACTTCTTCTTGTTGCCCAAACACATCAAAGCTTTTGGTATCTAGTTTATAATGTTTAAATCTACATTGTGTAAGTTAATATTGTATTTAACATAACAAATGTTATTAATATGATAAGTGATTTTGAACAGTAGCGTATTTCTTTGTGTTCTTTCAGTTTGTATTACTTTATATGCATCAGCTGCAAAATGAAATCTGAGGTTACAAATAAAGTATATTAAAGAAGGCCAGAAGAAGAATCTTCTGGACATATTTAACTGTTTAGCCATTTTGAACTTTAATTATGTTTTTTACGTAAATAAAAAAATAAGTTAAATAATAATAAAATAATAAAAATACGTTTTGGAATGGTCTGTTTAAAATAAACACCACTTGGTTTGACATTTTCTGTCCTAACACAATGAACTGAATACGCTTTAAGTATTGAACAAATGTTGCAAACCTTTCTGGGGACTCTGTATGTGTTAAAACAAGGCCCAAGGCCATACACCATTCTTTTTTTCCTGGCTTTAATATCCCTGATTCAGTTGATGAGCTAATAATCAAGCTGAGTCAGGGGTGCTCCAGCACAGAAACCTGAAACAGTGCAGGCCGGTTTGTCCTCAAAGCTAGAGTCTTGGTTCTCTTGCTCTTCTCTAACAGAGACTAGAGTCAGAATGATCTGAAACTTGCTTTGATACCAAGTGGCAAGCTTACTTCAAGCATTGTAGCACAGAAATCATCATAAGGTGACAGAGTGATCTAAGATGATATTAGCCATATTTTGGAGAAAATGGCTGCACCAAAGACCTGCTATGATAGTAGTTTCAGGCTGAATGTATGTAGCAATCAAAAGAAGTGGAGAATAAAGCTTCTCTGCTCTCCAGCTACCGTCCACCAGACAGATGGAAATGAAGGCGTAAAAACAGAAATAATGTATATATATACTTGAAACAAAATGCATGGTTCTCTCCTGCTTCAGTAGTGTGCAACTTAACAAGATGGAATACAGACTGCATACAGACACTAAGACTAGATTGTTAAGACTCAGACAAGTGAGAGCTGCACCTGATAATGAAAAACAAACAGAAGGGAAACAATGTGGTAGCTTGGGGGAAAAAAGGTTCATCGGCAGGTCGGATCACAGTGAGAGATCCAAAATGCAAGATCTATAATATCTCTTGTTTCCCAGAATAAGCGCCATACTGTCATATGTTGAAGCAGACTGTTGTTAGGTAATTACATGCTGATGTAGAGCTAAAATACAGCACTGCGTCCAAGAAATCTTATATAGAATCTGTCAGGAGTGGAAAAAGTACAGAGAAACTATAATTAAGAGAAAGTATGTTCAAAATGTAACATTTTTTTTTTGCTCCGTTGTTTGTTGTCTTGTTTTTTTTTTTTATTGTCTTGTACAATATTTCAATAATTTAGGTCACTGTCTGTTATTAGTGTAAAAATGTAAAAAAGCAAAAAAATACACCTTGCTTTAAAATGTTACTCAATTAAAAGTGGGAGCCAAAAATAGGAATTATATATGTATTACTTGAGAAAGGTCATAAAGAAGCTGTATTCCCATATGCAAAAGAAATATACACAATCCTCTAGTCCTTCATCAGTGGTCACAGGACGCTGCCCACAGGACGCTGTTGGCTGGATATTTTTGGTTGGTGGACTATTCTCAGTCCAGCAGTGACACTGAGGTGTTTAAAAACTCCAGCAGCACTGCTGTGTCTGATGCACTCACACCAGCGCAACACGCCACCTCCATGTCAGTGTCACTGCAGTGCTGAAAATGATCCATCACCCAAATAATAACCTGCTGTACGGGTGCTGACCTTCGAATAACAGAGTAAAAGGGGGCTAATAATGTAAAGCATAAGATGTACTACAGTCTGTAATTGTAGAGCTACAAAGTGCACCTATATGGTAAGTGGAGCCAATAAAAGGGACAATGGGGGTAGAAACAAGGAGGTGTACTTAATGAAGTGGCTGGTCAGTGTATTTCAGTGTATGTCATACTGCACATATAATTTTAACATGAGCAAAAAATAGGCACATTTATTTTTCTTTGGTATGGTTTTACATATACTCAGACATATGAAAGTACAAAGTAAATGTTTTAAGAAATAAAGGTTTTAATTCTTGGTATTGTGTTACATGGTGATGTGTAATATTAATGAGTGGTAATTAATTAAGGGCAAGTATTAAATTTGTCGAAATTATGCACTAGTAAAGTACTAATCTTTCAAAATAATACTTCTGGTCCTAAAATCTGATTGACTGAGCCACGTTCAAAGCCATTGTAAAGTACCTAATATAACAGGCCAAAGGATGGCTAACAGGCCAAAGTCCTCCATTAATATTCAATGTTAGATTTTGATTTTAAGTATTTCCTGAATGATTCACCGTAAAACTGTAATGTAAAAGTAAAGAATATGTTACTTGAATGTCATACATGTTTCAAATGTTTGTGTTTTTGATTAGATCTGCCTTTAGTGGTATTATTGCCTTGATGCTAACCTAACATGGGAAACTCCATTCCATGCTAGAAGAAAATTAGCACTATTGTTAGATGGTGATTTGATGGGCAAAAACTGAAGGTGAAGGTTATATTACTATACTATATTATGATATTTTCATTATTGTATGATTAAAAAATCATTAAAACATTTACACTTGACTACTCTTCCAATGTGCTCACAGTCATCAGATTAATCTGCTCAGGGAAGGGGTCAGAAGCACAACCCATGTTACACAATGTTTCCTCTGCATGTTGTGTTCAATTACACATTTCCACCAGAGAGGTCTCCAAATCCAAAAAACTCAAATAGTGTAGCTTTAAATTATTTATTGAAAATGTGGGCTTTTTATCATACATTATTTTGTCAATGTTCTATAAAGGCAGTAAGACTAGAGTTACAGTGTATCACAGGAATTTTACCATGCATTAGAGGGTTTTACTCTGCTTGGCGTAATGTCTAATAACACCCCTTATTCATGACGAAATTACAGTAACGCATGGCCTTTTATAGTATAATATAGTAACAAAACATAATCACTTAAGTATTTTCCACCCTTGGAAAATCTGCTTCAGTTTTCTCTGTGTTCTACGATAAAGTATAGAAGATTCCTTTCACCAAGGACGATCTGAGTCAACACATTCATTGGAGCCAGCTCGCCCTTTTTTTCTGCGGAACGCCTGCAGGCTGCCACGTTCATCTCAGCAGAGTGGCATTAACCGTCCACAGCCAGTCACATCACTGCAGATAGTTCAGCACTCCTCTGCTCATCCCTCAAGTCATTCTGTCATCCTCCTCTCCTCTCATTTCTCTTTTAACTTGACAATTAGCCTGCTACTAATGATCAGCTGAGTCTTTTGTTCATGGCTGTTTGACAAATGAAATCTTTCCCACATTGTATCTTTTGCTTTCTCTCTCTTCCTCAATACACATAAGACTATGTGTTTATGCATATTTCGTGCAGTATTAAATTGCTGTTTGACTTGAGCAGAATAACTCAATAGCCAGGAGATCACAGAGCCCATATCTAATTCACACCATTCGCCCAGAATCATTCGAGTGAGTCTGTTCAATCATGATTCAAAAGTTATACCAAGTAAGTTCTGGTGGTCTCCTTGTTATGGTTATTTTTTAATAACCCTTTCCTTTGAATTTGCTTTAGTTTTCACATGAAAGGAAACATGAATTGGTGCTATCAAGTGGAAAAAATGCATAGAAATATATTTAAATATGCATTTTAATTTAGTTAGATAATTTGTAGTCAAAATGTTAAAGATTCAAAAGAGGGTAGGGTGCATGTCCAAAAAGTACCCATTATAATTAGTGAATTTAGCTAATTAATGTGCACCTTTTGCTGATACATGTGTTCAATTGTGCTCACACAGCTCGTAGAATCTCCATAGAAATGCATCAGCAGCCACACATAAGCCTAAGGTCACCATGGCCAATGCCAGGAGTCAGCTAAAGGGCTATAAATCCCCCCAGTACTAGGCTGTGGAACAGTGGAGCGCCATCCCATAGCTTTGGGAGTTGGACTGCTGTTTGTTATAATCATTGTTTGTTATAATCATCCAACATCAGTACTTGAACTCACCAAAGCTCTTATGGCTGAATGCAATCAAATCCTGACAGCAATGTTCCAACATGTAGTGTAAAGCCATCCCAGAAGTATAGAGGCTGTTACTGCAGCAAATGAGAGGTCAGCTCCACTTAAAATTATAGGGTAACTGATTACACAGCTGTTTTGAGTTAACTTAAGGGTACTACAACACACACACACACACACACATTTTCTGAACGATTTATCCTTCTTGGTCACAGAGGGGTGCTGAAGCCTATCCTCGGCGGTCAGTGGGCAGAAGGCAGAATACACCCTGGACAGGTTTAAGGGCACTAGTTCACCTATTTCAAACTTCTTGGTTTAGTCAAAAGTTCTCACAACTCTGTAGTTCTAGTTCTGCTAAACAACAAAAAAATTGTGTTCTTAACTCAGTTTCTTCACTAGCTGTGGCTCTTACCATCACACACCCCTTTCATTTTCACCTCTTGGGCTTCCATATATGGAGAGCTGTGGCTTTGCTGGGCTTCAAACTCACAGTCTTCTGATATTGGGATGAAGTATTAGACATCTGATCATGCTACTTTTCAAAGTTAAAAAAGAAAATATTTTCTCATATTTTTTGCTATTAAACATTTATGGACACAAATTATAACTGTAGGTGTTCCCAAGTGGTGCAATGACTAGGCCTTCACCCTGAAAGTGATCATGAGTCTGAACCCCAGCAACGCCATAGCCATCCATAAGTGGGTACCAAAGAGGTGAAAATGTCTGATGGCATTAAGTGATGGAAATAGTCCCAGTGGGGAAGCTGAGTAAAGAAAGGAACAAATTCTGTGTGATTTATCAAACTGAGATGCAAAACTAAAAAATTAAGAGAACTTTTGACTCAGCTAACACATTTGAGCTGGATGAACTCTACTGTCCTCAAGTTGAGTTAACTCAAGAAAAGCTGTGTAATCATTTTTTTACAGTTCAAAGGGGGACAGATTCCCTTGATTTCAGAGGTTAAGCAGGTGTCTACAAACTTTTGGACATATTGTGTCTCAAGGAGTAGAAAGGTAATTTTGTACCCACTTTCTTCAAGCTGAGATATCTTTAAACCAACCTCACTCCAGTGTCAGTTGGGAATACGCTCTGCCCCACATTTGATAGCTAACACTCCTCTGCTTATGCACAGCTGAGTACAGCTGAACTTAAACCTTAATCTCATTTAGTCATTTCATTTCACAGCCAGCACACACACTGATGGATTTACGGAGGAGTCACATAAATCCAGAACACTCTCTCTTCTAAATCTCGTGATAAAGCTGAAAAGATGTCAGAGAAAGCAAGAGACTTTTGGTTTCTGTATAAGAGCTTGTTCAGTCCTGAAGTCAATGGCTCTGTGGTCTCAATCACATCCTTTTAGGAAAGACACTACAGACAGTAATGATAATTTTGGTTCTGTCAGTCATTCTTCAGATTTATGAATAAATTGAATCTACAACATGTCTTCTAGCAAACGAACAAAAATCATTTCACAACCAACTGTAATTTCCAAAGATTAGCAAATTCAATGAAGGCTTAGCTCCGCCCACACTTGGCACAACCACATCCATTCATATCATCACTGAAAAGTTTCTAACAGGAATCTAACTGGAATATCCAAATATATGTATTTCCTTTGTACTAAAGACAACATTCACACAAATAAGGCATGTTTTGTGAGATCTTACTGGAAAAGTCTGAGTCACTGGGCACTTCTGAGGCTTGTTCTTAAAAAAGTTTTTCTCAAAATCAACCAAAGATCTCAAATTCTAGAACACCTGCTTTCTTGAATATTTGCAGGTTCATACCTATCCCTATTCTAAAGGGTATTACAGAATATAATCCTTGTTGCTGCATTTATGCTAAATTTTGTACTACAAATTGACCTGAATATTTTATAATAACGTTTTACAATGTTTTATAATAACAGTGTATAATGTTGTCCTGATTAAACAATAAAACAATGTTTTTAAAACATTTTTATTCTTACATTTTTCAACTTTTTAAAGTATGTAAATACTGTTTTTGATGTCTTTTTGTTTACAAAACTTCCAAAACAAAAAATTGTGTGAGAAAATCAGTAATAAACTGGTAAAGATTCATTGTGACATCTACTGTTCAAAAAATGACCCATTTCACCTGCAGTGTCTCGTATTAAAAGTCATCTTTGGGGAATATCAGCTTCACTCATCCACTGAAAAAAAAGTGATAGACTGAATTTACTTGATTCAAATGAGTACAAAATTTCCACATGAAGAAATCATGTTACATTAACACAATTAAGGCAAAACTGAGAAAAACTGAAAGACAAAACTATGTTGATGTAATATATTTCATTCTTGTGGAAAAGATTTACACATTTGAATCAAGTAACTGCAATACAGGACTTCCACTGCAGATAAACTTTGACCAAATGGTTCCAAACTCACCGATGCAGACCACATCCATGAAGCCGTACATGCCGTAGCAGATCTGGAAGAGCAGGTCCTGCCGCTGCCACTTGGCCGAGGGGCTGAAAGAAGACCACACCAGCCAGGATATGCTGGCTATGAGGAAGAGTGAGCCCAAGATGGCTGCTGCGATCTGGACCTTCTCTATTACTGTTAAGGAGATGGCCTGCCACTTAAAGAAAGCACAGAGAAAGAAATGGTTGCTTTTTTCTTCTTGATTTGAGAAAATATTTGCCATAATTTTGGCATAACATTTCAGCAGATTGTCACCATTAACACTGCACAAGACCTGGACTAGATTTCAAGGGGAATTCCACCAATTTTTCAACATTTATGCACATTTCAACCATTGGCATGTGACCAAAGTCATTTAGAGTGATCTGATGAGTAATAAGAATGTACTGACTCAGATCTCTTTACACTGGTGCTGATAGGAACCAGGTGTTGGACATGTCTACAGTGCAAATACAGCCATTTTTACTATGCCAGTGAATGACCAGTGAACCTATGCGTCCTCTGAGTTTTATATGTAATGTTAATAATGATAAAATAGTGGTAAGTCTGAAAAGATACTTTTTTAATCGAGGGCTATTTTGCCTCATAAAATGCTGTATGTGTCTCACTGCCATTGCCAAAACCTAATCTCAAGACCATTACATAACTATAATAAAATACTATCTCAGGCATTAAGTGGTAATTGCAACCATTAAATCTAATAGCTTTCTATGAGGTGACTCTTAGAGGCATTAAGTAGTTTGGAAGTCTGGTTCCTATCACCACTACTGTGAACAATTCTGGCTTGACAATTTTCACTTGAACATTTTAGCACATTTTACATCTGATGAATCCGAATGACTTTGTTACTTACTGATCTTACTGATTGAAATATGCAATAATTTTGAAAAACACTGGTGGATCTCAACATTTTTACCCCAGACAAGTGAAGTTTACTGCCATGTGTATTCAGAATATAGAGCATTGAAAATACAATGAAGTTCTTTTAATGCAGCATCATACCCCTGCACACGACACAAAGTGTGCAATGAGAAAAAAGAAAAACAAAGAAAAAGAAAGATGGAAAAAAGGGAAGTAACAATAACAACAAGTAACAATAACTGCAAGGAACCAAGTAATAAAGATGGCTGGGTAGTATAGAATGAAGTGGAAGTGACAGGGATAAATAGCCAAAATGTGTGGTGCAGGTATGGATTTGTGTATATACAACCCAGAACAGTGGAGAATAACACAGTATAACAAAGTGTAATATCGATTCAACAGAATAATACAATATATGATACAATGTGTGTACAGCATAATATATTATGACACACTGTAATACAATGTGTACAGTTGGGAAAACAACCAAAATGATAGTGTACACAGTGATGTCCAGCAAGTGAGACAACGCCCTGCCAGTGTTTACTGTTGAGAATGGTCCTACTGGAATAATTCATTTCCATTTCCCAATTTAGATATATGTTTTCACTGTCAGCACATTTGAAGCTCTCTGATTCAGAGTCTGAGAGGCAGGCCAAAGCAAATGCTCACCTGCAGGGGGTTCTTGGTGCTGATGGCGATGACCTGGTACTTATAGTAGCAGAGCTCGCACGTCCAGGAGCCTCTCTCACTGATCCACTTAATGAGACAAGGCTGGTGGGTACTGCGCACCGAGCCGCTACAGCGACATGGACTTAGCAGCTCTCCCTAACCCACAGAGACATACAGGAGTTACAGAGCTTTAGGCAGCAAACTTCCCCAAGCACAAGTGCTGAACAGGCATGAGCATTTGACCTTCAGACTTTAATGAGCACAATTATATGGAAACAAGAAAGAAAGAAAGAAAGTGAGAAAGAAAGAAAGAGAATATTTAGCTGTTTCTACAGTAACAGAAAAATGTTCAAATTTTAATTTCATTAGTTGGTGATTCGATGGTGCGTGAAATGCTAATAAATATAGAAATACAGTAAAGTAAATTTGACCTGTATTGAATTGAAAGCAGTACAAAAACATAAAATTCAGGTTTTTAAAAAGTATTTATTTTTTATTGTAAATATTCACTCATTCCAATTTTGATGCCTGCGGCACATTCCTAAAAAGTTTGCAGGGGATGTTACCACCGTGTTGCATCACCTTTCCTTTAAAAAAAACATTAATCATTCATAATCATTTGGGGACTGAAGACACTAATTGATCTGGTTTTGAAGCAGATTTTTCTTTGCTTTACAGTGTGCCACACATTTTCAGTGGGAGACAGGCCCACACATCTACCCACACTGTCTGATTACACAGTCGTAACGTGTAGAATGTGACATTGTCTAGAAGGCAGCATATGTTGCTCCAAAATATATCTTAATATCATATTAATGTTTCACAGATATGCAAGTTTCATACACTACATCAACTGCAGAATGTTGTGGAATCAATTAGAATTAATTTGAATGATATTCAATAAATTATGGACTGAATGAGAAGAATTGTAACTGAATTGAATTGTTGCAAGATTACAGATTCATTTACACCTCTTGTTGTAACTCAGTGCTGCCAAGAAGAGAGAGATTCCTCTTCCTCTTTTCACAGTTTTTATAAATTACATGCTGTCTGTCTTTTCATCCCTGCAGGCATTTTACATTATTAATAAGATCAGAATGGTGGAGTCCAGATATAATGCCAGGCTTAGTGCAGAACTATTGCACATTTTATTGATATCCTGTAAGAAGTATCAGTGTCTCCCATCTAAAGCAAAAACATTTCTCTGTAAGTGATCACAATTGGTGAAATTAGTTATGAATACCTACTAAATTGCTGCAATAGTTTTGTTTGGAAAGTATCTTGTTGACAATGTATTCTCATAGCTTTGTAAGGATTGTCTTCAATACCCCCTATTTAAATCAGCTCTAATCAAGTCACCTTGTTGAAATTCATAGCACTACATGCTATACGTGAGAAATGATGCCAGGTGAGAACTGATCTGGGAAGAAAGCCAAGAGTTTTGAGATTTACAATTGGATTCCTGGCTGCTGTGTGTAATAACTTTGATTTAGACTATTGATTATAGGACTGCAAACATTTTGGAAGGCATTAATCGGTCACACATACACAAGAACGAAGGAGGTCAGGTTATACTCTTATACCCTGTCAATATATCTGTGTTGATGCTCACTAGCTTATGACTGTCATTTAGACACTTCACCAAGTGGGTCTGTGATTTATTTAACATTGACAACTAACATGGTTTCCTAACATGGTTTAGAATCAGAGCTGTTCCAAACTTAGAAAGATCACAATGTTGTACAAAGATGGTGTATCAGCATCACTGGGCATTGAATTAAAGGGAAAAAGGAATGAATCCAATCCAGTCTTGTAACAAATCTAATCTAATATGACACACACTCACACTGTGTGATGTAATTTTGTTAGCTGTGTATCTTTTCCTATGGGGTAGTACAGTGTTTGAATAGTTAGAGCATCATAGCCTTTACATTATAAAGATAAAACACTATAGAAGCGCAATTAAAGACCACAGTATAAAATCAGTCATGATACTATTAGGTACATCCTAGCCTGAACAAATATGTTTTACATCTGGATTTAAAAACGCTTCTGTCACTACTAAACCATTCAAATCAATGCTGAAACGTAGTACCAAATGTTTCAAAAATACCAAATGTTTCAGCAGTGACAATTTATCAAATCTCTAGGCAGTACATGACTAGAAAACACAGCTCTGAACAGCTGTACACACATAAAATCATAACATTTTATTAACACAAAACATAAAGAAAGTGTTTCAGTACTGACAATTCCTAATGTTACAAACTGATTTTCAGACTTTGGGACACATTTACTTCAAAACAATGTGATATAACTGCTCACTATGTGGCCATGAGGCACAGGAATGTAGTCTAAAATAAGTGTGGCTAAAATGAGGCTCTGCCCATGGACCAAAACTCTTTTTGTTTCAGTAGTTACATGAAAACAGAAGACAGATTTTTAAATATATTTCTAAAAGTTTTTAATTAAAAAAATAAATATAAATCTTTCAAGTTCACCTCAAAAGAAATCAAAAAGGTCTGTGAAAAAAAATATACAAAAAATTAGGTATTACTTTCACAAGTTGAAAGTTGTAACTAAATGTTGTAAAAAGCAAAAAGAGATTCCTTTAAAGACTAATAAATACAGTCATATGCTGAAAACAAGTTAACGCATCCTCTATAAGAAACAAAGTTAACAGGATTTTTCTACAAATTTTACTGCACAATTTATTTTACTATATTATACTACACGATTTTATACTATTTATTTGCTGAGATTAAACAAGCAGAAAAAAATAAAACATATAATATAAAATGTGCCATACGTTTGGCACAGGCCACAATTTATGTTTTATTATGTTTATGGTTTATAGGTTTATGTTCAGCAAATAAACAGTAGGTGTACATTTATTTGTGCATGAAGAGGATGTTTGAACTCATTTTCACCTAGAAATCAATAAAATGTAATTTGACCAGGGGTGCCCAAACTTGGACATGACTGTACTAGTACTAGCTGTACTAGTACCAAATGCTGTGTGCCTTTGAAAACGTTATTATACGTTACAGCAGTTAAAGCATATGGAACAGCTCTGCTGTTTGTATAGTTTGTAAACGATAGTGTTATAGAAGAAGGGATCAGGCTGAAATCTCCAGGCTGCTCTGGCAGAGAGCTCTGAGTGGAGAGCAGACTCGGGAACAGGTGCTGCACAGTTGGAGTGGTCATCTCAGCCCAAACGCTCCACCTTCCTACTGAGCAACATGAACACTCAAATACACAGTGTGCTCTCCCTCTGCTCTCAGGGAGAAAGGCACAAAGTGGACAGAGTTTTGGTTCCATTTCTAGATCTTAGTTTTTCTTCAGAACACAGTTACAGGCTGGGTGTTGTTACCCTCCGAAGGAAAACACAGACTGATGCATGCATCTTTGAAACCATGCCAGTAAGGGAGAAGGCTTGGGGCCATTAAAGCAAAAAAACCTCACGTTGTCTTGACAGCATTTACTATACGATGGTTCACATATTGAACAACTGTTCAGTTCCATCTACAGTATATTGTTGAATCTTTTTTTTTCACTGTATTGCACCATAGAGCACGTATTATTGTTATTAATATTAATGTGGATGCCTGTTAAAGTGAGTGATCCATGGGGACTATTGTTTATTGCTCTCTAGTGTCTCCTGTTTTGAGCCTATGAAGGGAAATTCCATCCAAATATGCTGGTATAGCAAGAAATACTGTACTTTCAATCTTGAATCTGTTCATAAAAACAACACGACAAAAAGGCATCTATACCACACTGACATGCATGTAGCTCCACAGGTAGACTGGGATAATAGTTTCTGATGGAAGTGTTAATGGAGAATTCTACTGATTTGTCAGATTTTCTGCATGATACAAAGGTTGACATGTAAACAAAGTCATTCAGAGTGGTTTAATGTGAAGTGGTTCAATGTAGAGAAACTTACAGACTCTTCACAGTGGTAGTGATAGGAACCAGGGGTCACAATGTCTACAACGCAGATGCAGCCGTTTTAAATTCACTTTATATGAAAACCTACAGTTTTCTGTAGTTTTCCTCTTCTGAGTTTTTAAAGGTAATGTTAAAAATGTTAGTATATCAGAAAACAAATTGTCTTTAGGGACTATTTTGCTAAACTACAGCCTGCATGTATCTTTCCACCATGAATGTGTTTAAAAAATAAATTTTAGGACATTATCTTATCTCGAAACTGTCATAAAACAATGTCTCAGATATAAGGCAGCATATAGTCATGCCATGTAATAACTTTCTGTGATGCAACTTTTAAAGGCATTAAATGCCCAGACATTGGGTTCCCATCACCACCACTGTGAACAATTCTGTCTCAATTCGACATGAATTAAGAGAGCATTTCACAACAAAACCACTCTGAATGACTTTTTAACATCCTAACCATTTAATTATGCAGAAATTTTGAAAAATAGATGGAATCCCCCTTTAATGTCAAACTTCAGTTTGAGGTCAATGGTACTTGTAGTTGTGGTTAAAGAATTTAGTCTGAGCTTAAAACCTACTCTCTTAAAAATAAATGTCAAAAGTTCCCTAAAGAACTTGCGAGTTTTGCCAGATGCAAGTGTATAGAACCTTTTTGCTTTGTAAGGAACCTCCACATAGCATACGCATTTAAAAATTATGGTTCTTCAAGGGATTTTATTAAAATTTTGTTATTTTGTTACTTATAAAATAACACTTAAAAAACCTCTTTGCATGATGAAAGGGTTCTTTGCATCATGAAAGGGTTCTTCAGACAGATGGAGAATATGCTGTAAATGGTTCTATACAGAACCTTTTTGAAAAGGGTTCTATATAGCACCAAAAAGGTTCTTCTGTTGTAACAAGCCTGACATTGTAACAATAGAAGAACCTTTTTTGGTAACACATAGAACCCTTTTCAAAAAGGTTCTATATAAAACCATCTACAGCACAATCGCTTTTACGATGCAAAGAACCCTTCATGGAAAGGATTAATTCTTCAAATGTTCATGATTCTATATACAAACATTTTCTTTACTAAAGAACCCTTGAAGAACCATCATTGATAAGTGTATACCAATTAATTATTTTTTTCCTAGAACCACACATCCAAGCCAAGAACCATTTAGGAACCTTTATTTTTAAGGGTTCAGAGTTAG